CCTCAGAAATAAAATAGTTTAGTGTTTGGTAAAATATATTAGGAGTATAACTAATTGTTTTGATGTAGTTTTAATCACTTTAGTGTATTTAAATATCTTATAAAGATGTTGTTTCTCCACCAATAATATCCATGATTTATTTGTCATATTAAGAACATTTTAGTTTTGACCTTTGAAAACTTTAATTGTTTGACTTGATTTTAAATTTGAATTTGAATCATTTTTGAACCATCGCGAGATTAGCAACTATAATCGAGGTGACGGGGCATCACTAGCAGAGGATCACTGTAGCTTAATTACCCGGGCGTCACACTGACAGAGTGTATGAGCAGGTAGTTCTCCAGGTTTCTTTATACTACCAGCCCACTCTATATTTGATTATGCTCTAATATGTCAAATCATGAAATGATATGAATAATTAAATATTAGCAGATGGACAAAACGTGTATTGATGGTCTGATGTACCAAGTGTTTTTATCCACAGTGAATAAAATAGAGGAGTGGCCTGTTCACCGGAGCAAGCGAGGAAGATAGCTCAGCCCGACCACCAACGTCCACTCACCGGTTTCTTTGATGCCTCGACCTCGAGCTGCATCAGCTCGTTGATATGTGATGGACATCTCCCAGCAGTCCCTCGATTGCCAGGCCACCGCGCCCGACCTCGACAAGGCGTTCGGATGGTTGTGAGGCAGGTGCTGCTGTACCAGCGGTGCTGCTATGTTGCTCTGCCCTCAACCATCCAAATCATTTCTACCAGACCCAATCTTCCACTGCCATCTCATACATATGCAGGTACTATCCAGTATCTATGCACGAGCTACCGAGCGTGAGTGTGGCCATCACCCAGGAGCAGGTTCAGCTTCTGTACATCCACCTTTTGCCTACTTTGCATCTTTCAGATCTGCAATTTCATATGATGTTAGTTCCCTTCTGCCATACAATGGACTACTACATCTTCTCAGTTGTGTTGGTTTCTATAGCTTCATTGGTTGCTTACTTTTCAGTGATATGGTAGTTTAGGGCATGCTCACCAATTGTACCATCAAAATATCAAACCAACTTAAATTTATCTCTTATAGATGTGTTATTGAATACTAGAGGTGATTATTTTCTTTCTAGGGATTAGGGTTTTATAAGAATTAGGCTTCTTGAAACTTTGAGGTTCAAACTAATTAGTCTTTGAGATTTATGCACCAGGGCATACAACCTAGGTAATCCTCAGTACATCTTTTTAATTTCTAACTGAAGGTAGATACATACTGGAAATAAGTTTGTTGCATGCCCATCATCAATTACTCTTTTGCATATCACTTTTTAGAATAAGATATATTTTGGTTGTTCATTGCTTCCAGGAAGAAGATGGTTTAATATATTGGTGTCAGAGCGCTTGTTGCAATAACCGTCAAATCTTGATTGTATTATATTGATCAGACCAAGCACTTTTTGGATAAATTAGCATGAAGTGATCAGGAGCAGAGAAATATATATGTCTTGAAGAAATGGATATATATGGTTTTAAGGTTACATGAAGATATATATGTCTGGATCAAGTTGTAAGTTCTCTTCCAGAATTACTTAAGATTAGTGATTCCGTTAGCTACATAGCTGTCCTTTATTTATGTGGATCACATGTCCTTGACGATCATATTATGATTTGGACACACATTAATTCATAAAACCATTTGTTACTTTCAAGACATGTTTATTTCGTAGGTGCATATCCATACAATTCATAAAACCATTTGTTACATTCAAGACATGTTTATTTCGTAGGTGCATAGCCATAGACAATGCCCTCTTGCTGGAAACAGTAGCAACAACACTCACCTCACGTAATCGCTCATCCTCAAAAGATTCGTAATTATATCTATTTTTGGATGAATTTTGGGGTCAACATATTACAGACTTGTAGTCAAGACCTAATCGCTATGTACAGTATTTTGAACCCATGGTGTGTCAACTTTTTTAATTTAAGATGGCAACATTATCCATCACATCTTTTATATTTCTCTCCATGATGCTCAATGGTCTTGATTGCTTGATAAAGGATTTATGGCATGAATTGGTTGATGAAAAGTGGAACATGTAATTTATTCTAATATCTTAATCATATTTTGGATCAACATTTTGTAGCTGGCCACTTGCTACCTTTGCACATGTACACTGAATTCTATATCATGTTCTTCCAATGAAAGGGATAAGAGAAAAAATAGAAGGATATAGATTTTGCATATATTTTTAACAACTGCCAAGTTGATATTTGGGCTCATTCCTGGTCCGATACTGGCTGATGCATGGTTACTTTTGGTAACTTGGGTTGTGCATGAGATAGTAAAAGGAGAAAATTACTAAACTTGGAACCTTTTTAACATCCAATTAAAAGGGAAGGTGAACATCTCGTCAACATCATATCCTTTTGGTATAACATAAGACAAGATGAGTACCATGTTTTCTGTTACTTCTCAGTTTCCTTGCATTGACTATTGCATAATCAAGGGTGCACGATGCAGAGAGATATGCCTGACCATCTCACAATGTTCTACAGGAGTACTGAGGGAATTGCTTGAACCTGGCATCGAAGGTGAGCCATCGCCAATCCCAGCCCATTGCCAAGCACCGTCTTATTCTGCAGCAAAAACGGCCACCCATTCCGAATCCCACCAGATGCGGCTAACACTGGGTTTTAGAATCGCTCAATCTTATTTTATCCATGAATTCACCGCCTCGTATTTGACCTGCCTCTCCACCCTTTGGCAAATACTTCAGATTTTCACAATTTTCCAGACTTTTCTGCCATGATTGCATATAACCTCTATAGTTATTTACTTAACTGATTGTTAGGCCTGCTATGCATCACACGATATATATAATGCAACGGCTGGTACACTGTTTAGCCCCATATCTACAGTTCTTACAGACATTAGCCGGCAAAAGGAATTAAATAGCCACAAACGGTTGATGCACATATATTACGTACTGGTTTATTTATAAAAGAACCAAACTAGACAAGTTAAATCCATCTTAGTACTCTTTTAAAGTGCATAATTAAACTATATGCCCACAATTGCTATTGCCAGCTAACAAGTTTCTGATTTCTCGCACTAACAATTCTCACGATGCTTATACAGGGTGAAGAATATGAGCATCCGGAGTATATCATTCGCAGTGAGCCAATGCCAAGCTACAATGCTTATTATCTTGTTCTGATATTCCCCATTTAAAATAAAATGACCTAATAGTTTTTATGATCTGCTATACCTCTCTGACACCAATTTTCTGCCATAGAACCGAAAGAACATATATTAGGCCGATCAATAATGCTCAAGTTAACTAACTTGCTTACTATATTCTTCCTACCATAGGTTTAAAGCTTAATTCTACTTTTCTCTTGATGAAAGCTTAGTCTCCTAACAATAAATAGTATTGAGCCTCCTTACATGTCATTTCGATCTTTCCAAATCTTACCAAAACGAAACTAAATTCAGGACCACCCCCTGCTATCCAATACTGTAGAGAGCTTGAAAGGTATTGTCACTGGGGCACTGAAGTGAAGCTCTATCAGCACCATGTGAACAAGTTGTTTGCCATGTTCCGCCGCAGAAAAACAGATATCAAATACTATGTCTGCACCATCAGCAAAACATTTGCAAAGCTAGGCCAACCGATGGTAAACTCCTTCTTTCCACTTCATAGAAAAAAAGAACTATCTTTACTTATGCCTCACAACTAAACTACTTGTACTTGACTAATCATTAGAAGTATAACCTGCAGTATGCTTTTGATTCACCAAATTGACTTAATTGCGAAATATTGAAAAAACTGTATACATGTAACTTTAGAAACTAATATTCATATAGTCTGATATACATGTTTTCTTCCTTCCTATATTTGTTCTCCTTCACTAGAGTACCATACATACAGAAACAACCAATTTACATCTTATACTCCACATTGGAAGGAATGTAGCATGCTCTGCACCCTCCTTTTGCTTCCTGCCATTATTTGCTGATGAATGTTCTCGCTATCTATATTTAAACCTTCTCAGTGTAAGAGTGACAAGACACTTTCCAATCCATTGAATTAATTCCTTTTTTCTCATCAGTATTTTCAGGTCAACTACACTGAAAGAAAACTAAATGATTACATTGACCCAGATTATGATACGCTCAAGGTCAGGCTTGCAAACAGTGATCTACAAGCCAATTGCCGCATCATGCTAGGAACCGACAAGAGAGCCATTGTAACAATCAACCGGTCTGAGTTCCGTTGCCTTGCAAAAATCCATGGAGACATCTCTGCCTTTCGTTTCAAGGTCACCACAAAGCAGCGCCGGGTTCTCATGGTGCATTTTTGTCGTGGTGACTACTCTCAGCCAGATATGTATAGACTTTAGTCCTCCCTTGCTGTCTCTATGGTGAAAAGTAGTCTACGATCTTTAGATTTTATTGTTGTCTCTATGGTCAAAAGCGGTTTACCATCTCTTATTGTATATATGTGAAGGACTCCTCTTCTACTGTTGTTTCCAGAACACTATGACTCAAGAAACAACCTTTCCTTTTATGCATGCTTTCACATTAATGTTTCCATCAAACATTCCCTTTGATCATATCTGCAACACTTACAAGATCATATTAAGATTTCCCAATGGATCCTGTACACATTCCACCAATCTTATCTACTTACTACATATAGTATATAAGCTATTCTTTTCAAACAATAATATGTTAATGCATACTCTTACACCGATTAGCTTACATTTGGCCTTTGCGCCATTGGCGCAACGGGTCATCTAGTTATGTGAAAAGACTATGAACTCCACCAGTGAGCATTCAATCGTTTCAAACAACAATACAAAGCTTGCGTATGGCCAGTTTGGTGTTCTGAAATGTCAGATGTACATTATCTTCACAAAAACTGGCTCACGGGACGAAAATTCAATCTATACACATGAATACTGTAGAAGTCTGAAAGTACGCTGTTCAACTATTGAAATCAAACACCTATAACCTATGTTCCTCCTCAAAACCCCTAGAAAATATGCGGGACTTTGCTCGCCAGAACACGCTCGCGTCTTTCGACATAGGCATGTGGGAACCATCCTGCTTTCCCCTTGCATTCACCTTCCGCCCAACCGTTGCTTGATATCTGAGTTCGGACAAGACATTGTCAGATTAATAACGGAAGCCACAAGACGGTATGTGCAGCTTCTAGGACCACGCATAGGGAACATTATTAACTTGGGAGAAGCTTACAGAGCACAGATATGAAAAGTACTATTTACCTTCCGGACGATAACGATGTCGCCAACTGATAAGTTAAGCTCAAACTCACTCTCAGCCTCGAAGGAATCGAGCGCCTGCATCATAAAGAATACAGAAAGCACATTTAATAAGCCTCCCAGATATGATCAACTTTGTGTACATCTGGCATGCTATCTTTATGTATTGTAAATATGTCACACCTCTCCCAGGAAGAAGTCGACAGAGTTAACTGCCTGATCAGCAGAAGTGGAGGCAAACATGCCATTAACTTCGTCATATGATGGTGGCGGCGGTGACATATAACTTTCTGCTGCAGGGGGTGGAGGTGCTTCGATTTTTTGGCGCTCAGACACCATCTAGCAATCAAAATAGTCATTCAATTCATGCATCAGTGTTTCCATATGCTTCATGTCGCACACTCTGGGATGTGCCAATTGAAAACTAAGAATTCAAGAAAATATAACAAATGCTGGAATCTCATACTTCTTCTTCCAAATGGTCAAGGATCTCCAGGACTTTCTGATGATAAGTTCTCTCCGCCTCAACCTTCGGGCCAGAACGCGAATGTCAGTGACCACATAATTTTCTCACGATAATATATTGCATAAGATTTTTTTTAAATGGGCACAGTTGATGGTTACCATTGCAATGAGGCGTTGTAATGTCAATCTTTGCTGCTGCCCCTCTACAGCAGCCATAGCTGAAACCGCTTCCTTTCCTAACCCCACCATGTTTGACTTCAGTTCTTCAAGTTTATACTCAGCTGCCTCCAACTTTGATATCACGTCACTATTCCCAGCTGATTCTCTTACTCTGCTTTGACGCCTTGAAACTTCAACGACCTACGAAGGGCAAAAGTAAGATAAATACTGCTGTTCGTACAAAAGAAATGAAGTGCCCCGAGCACATAATTACTTATATGTTGTTCAAATTCAGAATGACTCAATTAAATTACATGATCTGACATTGTGACAAAATGATGCATGAAGTTCTTAAATGTAACATAAGCTTATCAGAACTGCTGATACTAAGTATTTAATTGGACATTGAAGAGCATGAATTGGAAAATTGGCATTGATATTGCTGCTTTGGAAATGATTAAATTTAACAGTTCAAGTGAAGGAAACACCCTTCAGATGAGAGGCTGAATTGATCTGTCCATATACACAGTAACAGTGTGATGGTTCCTCCACACAAAAATAACAAACGCGCAGTTGAGAAGCAAAGCCAGTTCAGAGAGTCCAGTTATATCCGTCATTTTACTCTACACATATGATTTACTCTACACATATGATGTTCTCCACTGTGCGTCTATGATACTTGCAATATAAGGAAGGCATGGCAGTAGAAGCATAAACTAAACATGCTATTATAGTGTGGAGTTGTGGACCATGTAGCTTATCTAGATCCTGAATGAGTGTTGTCCTCAACTACCAAATAACTACAAGGGAATTCCAGAATTATTTCTAACATCAAGAATACAATTTTATCATTGCATAAGATGTGCTTATATGTGAGCAAGGATTTTCACCTGAGCATCAGCTTCTTGCCTTACTCTGTCATATCTCTGGGCTAGATGTCTAGCATCCTCTAGAGGGGCACCCATTACCATTGCCCGTAGAGGCTCTGCCACCTAGAATTCAATAATTAATCACACACTGTATCAATACATATTATACCCTGGTTACACACTTAGATGTAAAAATATAAAAATAAATCTGTTCGGTTATACTCCAAATGATAATCTATAAGAATATCCATATAGGCATTTAAGGAGTTATGCATTTTCAAATATATATATCATATAGCCTAACAAGTTCATTTAACCATGTACATGAGTTAACATATAGTAAAAACTATGTGCAATGAAATTCATCAGGAGGATCTTGTCATAAGGTAAAGGGTAAATCCAGCACTTGGAAAATATACCTGAGTACCAAATGCTTTTAGCATGTTCCCGCGTTCCTTTTCTATCAGTGAACGCGCCTTTCCATAGTATGTAGCAGCTCTGGATAAAGTATTACCACTTGTGCATGTGTTTTCAATGCCATATTTCTGGCTATCATCAGACAATTTGTTCCCTGCAAATTTAGATTATATGTAAATACATAATTAATAATATACCATGGATAAGTAATGCAAAGATAAAAATTACTCCCCTGAGCTAATATACAATTGGAGGAACATACCTATCTCCACTTGCTTAGATCCTGTCACTATGTAGCCCTCCACACCCCGGACGACGTCCCTTTGAAAATGCTGGCAAAAGATGCCAATGTTTTAATCCAAAGGAAACAATGTAGAAAGAAAAGAGACGATGAAATTGCGTTACTCATACTTTGGCAGCACGAGTGGATAAGTAAAGTTTTTCCAATCTCTGATGTAGTTTAACTTCTGACTCGTCTGTGAATGCATTATCAGAATTTCCATAGCCACCAGCCCCAAACTGCTTAAACACGCCCTGCAACAGTACATACATGTTACAATATTATTTTACTCATACGAAAATTGGAAAGTTATATGTTTTGATGCCACTAGCAGGGATATATATTAATTTTATTATTATTTAAGTATATACCATGTAGTATGTGTGGCCAGTTATAGCTCAGTAATATCTACTCAGTATAAAGGTTACATACAAGTAATTCCAGTTTTGCAATGCGTGAGAGGTAGTTGAAAATGGGGTGCTGTTGAATTTCCGCTTCACTTGGCAAAGCACAAGCATGAGTAGAAAAATACTAGTATGTGTAATTACAGTATTGCAAATTATAGGTCCACTTCAGAATCTTGAGATCGCCTTACTCAGCTGGTAGTTCTTACTATAAATACATGAACAAACATCCATATTATGTAGTAAAGAAAGGATTTTGTTAAGTTCTAGAATGTTAACAGTGAACCACCTTCTGCATTTCCAGACAACATAGTTATCTCTGAGGCAAACATAACCATGATATGTGATAGTTGGCTTCTAGCCTGTAATACCATCAGCCCGAGTGCTCCTAAGGCAATGTAACACGTTTATTTCAGCCGATCATCCTACGATTGCGAAAGATGGATGCAAAGCAATCAGATTGGCAGCTAGGTACTAGTCTAAACAGTGTAATGCGACAGGTCACCCTTTGCTGAGTAAGGCCCCTCGCTGCGTCTTGTTCTCCGTACGTGCCGGATCTCCCTTGTGCTGCTGTCATGGCTGGAGACCTAAAAAAATGCCTTCGGATTTCTTCCCCCAAGGGTCAAGTTTTTGTGTGTGTGTATCCGGACAGATTGTGTTTTATGGGCTTATGGCAGTTCTATATTTGGACGATTAACGATGATTCATGAGCAATCCTTCGATCAGAAACCTAATATGTATACTTCAAATCAAACCTGTATTCCCTTTCGCTGTAAAAACTCAGTTATTTTAGAAAATAGCCAATTTGATCACCTCAAGCATTTCTCCGGTCTATGTATACTTCAAATCAAACCTAATATGTATACTTCAAATCAAACCTGTATTCCCTTCCCCCCACGATCAAGCACAGTAAATTGCCAACCCTCTATCTCCATCTATCCATTTCTCCGGTCTCCAGCATCAATATAGCCTACTAAGGTCAACTGCCTCTCTAGCACATACCCCACATAGATCAGACACCGAGCCAATTACAGGCACATCATCATCACCAGACCTCTACTGTGTGCGCGCGCCCAGCCCAGCCGCTCGGGGCACTCCACCCAGATCGATCGGAAAAACTGCCAGAGGCGGTCGGGCTCACCTGGCGGGCGACCTGCTCCTTGAGCCTGGAGGCCTGCTTCCACAGCGCCTCCATGGCCCGGATTCGCGGGCGGCGGCGCAGCAGACGGAGGGGGGTTCGGGGAGGGCGGCCGGGCCGAAGGGTCGCGCGGCGCGGAGACGGCGAACGGGGGACGGCGGTTTGGTCTCCTCTCCTTTTACTTTTGGTTTTCTGACCGGGCGAGGCCGCCTGCGGCTTCCTTCCTCGGAGGATGTTTCGGTGGTGGTTGGCCCTCACGGCCGTACCAGGCCTCCCCACGCTGGAACCGCGTCGCCGATGGCCCGAGAACAATAAACGGCTCGGTCGTCCCGGGCCCGCGTGGCGGTGGGCGTAGGGCCTACGGGGAGGGCGTGATGGTTCGTTCGGCCGAGGAGACGCCTCCGTACGTCGGCTGTGTTTATCCTGCCAACCGCCTGTCGGCGCAAGCATTCCAATTTATTTTTCGTTTTTTTTAAGAATCAGATCTATTATAAATGTTCACGGAAGTAGACTTTGAAAGAACTTTTTTCTTGACAAATTTGAGATATGTTCATCAAGCATCATGGCAGTATAAAGAACAACAAAAATAACACAAACTACATTCATGTCCGCAAAATATGTAGCGACGACCACAAGCACTAGGCGAGCGAAGGTGCACATGGGCTGAACAATGCTTGTTGTAGTGAACAGTCAGAAAATCGTCATGCTAAGGCCCAAAAAAACCAGCGCATCGTACCAACAACCTTTTATAGGAACACCGCAAAAAAAGGAGAAAACATCTCCGAAGATAGACATGATGAGGAAATAATAATAAAGCTGAGAACATGCAATGTTGCACATAATAATACTCCTGTGACCACGATAAGCCATTGCACATAGTAAAAATAATAAGTATTCCCTTCATTCACAAATATGATATATTCTAAATTTTTTTGAATCGGGTGTATATAAACACGTTTCAGTGTGTTTGCTCATTCATTTTAGTCCACATGTAGTTTACACTAAAATATCCAGAAATATTTTATATTTATGAGCAGAGAGAGTACCAAACAAACTCTGTTTGCCTCGTGATTCCTAAAGAAATTGCAAGTTTAAGGACAACCGTTTCACACTATCTGCCATGGCAGGAATTTTTGTCATGCCCTAAAACCTACTCTCTCATTCTTAAAACATTTTTTTGGTTGCCTTATTTTGCATCATCTCTAGGAAATGCTCTGACACCCCACATAAATCTTTTTTTTTGAGACAAACCCCACATAAATCTGGACTATAAAAGAAGAACCATGGGCCAACTAGGAGCGGTCGTGTCTCGTCCGCAGTGAGACACCAGCATATCTCACCTCAAGAATGTTTTAAATGGGCCGACACAACGTGCGAGGAGTGTTGATGCCCCAACCCACGTTTTTATCACTTTTATTTATATTCTGGAATGGAAACATAATTTTATTTAAATTTTAAATGATCTGAAGCCTCAGATGCATGCATCTCAAATAGCAGTACAATACTGCCCCATTGGGAGAGGACTTAGTCGATGCTAGCTCTCGCGACTCCCCGACCCACCTCTACCTACCACCGCCACCACTGCTCTCAGCGAGCTCCCCCGCCGCCACCACTGCTCTCAGCGAGCTCCCCCGCCGCCACCGTGGCCAACTCGGCCCAAGGGAGTCTGCGCCGCTTCTCCGCGACCTCGACGGGGGGCCCTTGCACTCTGCTTCGCCCCGGAGAAAAGGATTCTGCCACGCGCGCCCCCAAGTTCGTCTCCAGATCTGGGGGGGCATGGATCCGGCGGGCAAGGAGAGCTGCGACCCCTGGGAGAGGGAGCTGTAGGAGAGCCACCGATCCCGGATGTAGAAGACGACGAGGAGGCCCGGCGCACGAGACACGCTGCGGAAGCTGGTGACGAGGATCTGCACGGAGGCGAGAGAGGAAGAGATGCGGCGCATGATTCCGGGGAGGAGCGTGTCTCCGGAGAAGGTAATAAGTTGGGCTCGTGCAGAGGCCAATTCGTGAGATCCGATACAGTGGGCGAAGTGGCGAGCATTATGGTCGCTGCAAGGGCAGATCCGATGGTGAGGCCGCCGAGACACACTGGGCCCCCAGGGCTGCCCGAGACTCCGCCGTAGCTGAGAGGGAGCCTGAAGAGCTTCGACTTTGGGACTCCGCTTTGCTGGGCAGCTGGGCTCGTCTCGCCATGGCGTAATGGTCGTGGTGCGCAAAGCCGGGGAGCAGCAAAGGTCGAGGCCGGCGAGTTCACCGTTGGCGAGATCCGATGTGCGGTGACAGCAGTTGGAAGGAGGGAGAAGACGCTGGTGAATTTTGAAAAAGTCAATAGAAAAAACAAAAAGCAAAGGAGTCCATAGGGCCCGCTGGAAGATGAGGATGAGGCAGCCCAGGCTCACTTTGGCCAACTGTGGGACGCGGACCCGGTTCTAGAACCCCCAGATCCAGAACCTCTCCTGGTCTGGGTGGAGAAAACCCTAGCCCTCACCCGCAAGGTCACCGTCGCCGACTGCTACCCCCTTGGCAACCAATCTCCGCACTCTGCCTTGCCACCGGCGGAATGCATCACAGTTGCGAAAGACCTGTTCGAAGAGATCGCTGCTATGGCTGAAGCCCAAGGGAGGGGCCGTGATAGAGGGAAAGGGGAAAACCCCAAGAATAACAAGCAGATGGCGCAAGGGTAGATCGAAGACGGACACCAATCAGGTCAGTGGTTCCACCAATTTGATCCCCAATTTGGCCCACCTCCATAGCAGTTCCAGTTTGGCTTTGGATTCCCTAGTGGCCAGTAGATCCCCCCACCTTGGTTCCCAGGACCCTACTTCCACCGCCCCAGATGAACTAGTGGAGGAACGGTGGAGGGTGGGGGCCTGGTCCGAACCAGGGCCTGCCTGGCCCCTCTGATGCTGGATTCTAGGGGCAACATCAACAAATGATGCAATGGCATCAAAACTCCAGGACTGATCAGGGACAAGTAGGAGAGCGAAAACAACAGACTGGAAATCCTCAACTGTCTGGCTTTCAGAGACAGGGCTCCAATGCCACCTCAGCTGCTCAGACACAAAAGAAGGGCAAACCTGCGGGGAAACCCAAACAGAACTTCAATAGGGAAAAAGGAGTCTCTGCCTCAGAATATGTGGATGTAATATGCTATAGCTGTGGAGAGCCTGGGCATCACAAAGCCCAGTGCTCAAAGCCCCCCAGCATGTTTTATCTGCAAGATGGTCACACATAAGGTTGAGGAATGCCGAGTCAGAAAGAAACCCAGGAACCCTGCAAAATTGTTGGCAGTGCTACCCCCAGCTTAGGATTCTATCAAAATAGACGTGCCTGATGTAAATGAGCAACACATGGGGCACGGAAAAAATGTGGGAATTGTCTATGTTGAATCTAGACAAGCAAGCAAGAGTGATCTGGCTCACAACTTCTTCCTCATATACAAAACAAACTGGCCTTGGCACGTCAGGAAACTTGATGAATGGACATATCTGGTCAAGTTCCCTCCACATATCCCTGTAGAGCAAGTGGCTGGCTATCCAATGTTGTTTGGGTTGCCAGAAACGGATGGTGTCACAGTCAAAGTAGAGGCTTGGAAGGGAGACCTAGAACACTATGGTGAGCTCCAAAAAGTTTGGGTCCAGCTGAGAGGAGTGGCCCCTGCTTGGGCTGAATGGGATGTCCTAGAGCAGTTTGCATCTGTATTTGGTACCCTAATTGATTTAGATTGGCAAGGAAACTTCAAGACCTTCTTTGAAGTGGTCAGAATCAAAATCAGGTGCAAAGATGTTACCAAGATTCCTACTGACATGATTTTTGGAATAGGAGAAAAGCTCTACAAGATACTAATCCAAGTTGAGCCACCTGAAGAAGACTTTGAGGATGATGATCTGCTAGAGGATGACCTAGAAGGAAATGGAAAAGAAACTAAGGGAGCTGGTCCTGGTGTGGATGATGGGAACACTACTAATAGTAGCAAGGGCGGGGGGACAGCTGGCTCCACCTCTTCTCAGACCAGCAACAAACCTCTGAAACTAATACTGGGAGAAACTCCAGGCAAAAAACCATGGAATATCTACAACAACTACCTGATCTATGCTCAGCAGATCTACAACAACTACCTGATCTATGCTCAGCAGATCAGACTTACTCCTTGCTGCAGGAAATGGATCTGATGGGAGAAGATGAGGAAGATGAAGACATCATGGGAGAGTTTGCTGAAGTTGAAGACTTGGAATTGGAAAACACTAATGATGTAGTTTTCAGCCCCATGCACAACAACCCTGTTACAATCTCTCAGAATAGTAGGGCTCTAGAAAAGCAGAAATGGGGGCCTGTGCAAGCCCAGAGAAAGAGCAATAGGGTGGATGTAGGAAACAGGACGATGCTAGAAATTACTATGGATACCAAGAAAGTGCAAAATCTGGAGGCTAACAAAACTGAGGTTAAATGTACTATTGTCAAAACCTCTTTTGAACACTTCACTAATCCTGAATTTATTATTGTAGCTAGCAAAATTGGGGTGGAAATAGATAATGATCTTATTTTATCTGCTAGTCAAAATGATATGCAGTTACATAAGGAAAATGTGCACCACATGTCTGAAGGACAAAATGGTGTTAGCTTCTTAGTTAATGCTGAAACTGGTATTAATATAGGAACTCTAGACTCCATTAAAACTCCTGATAAGCATATGAGATCTGAACCAAATGCACCTCCTGAAGGGGGGTTGCATACAAGTGATCCTATAGATTCTCCTAGAACCCCCTCTACTCCTGAGTGCATAAAAGGGCTCTCATCAGTTATTGACAATTACAGTGTGGGATGGACACACATAAGCAAATATGGACGGGGCAAACACCCTAGGAAAGCCTCATACAAATGAATGCTCTTTTTTGGAACATCAGAGGGATTACAACCCCTGGGAAAAACCCCTGTATTATTGATACTCTATCTAAACATAATCCCAGTATTGTTTCCTTCCAAGAGACCAAGAAAGAGCACCTTACCCCTGCTTTTCTAAAGTCTATTAGCTGCAATAAAAACTATGACTGGCACCA